AAGGGAATTTTGTTAGTTAACAGCACCCTCTGTTAACTTGTGTTTGACTGAATAACCTGGACTGGTAGGTAGACTATAGGGAAATTTGTTAGTCAACAGCACCCTCTGTTAACTTGTGTTTGACTGAATAACCTGGACTGGTAGGTAGACTATAGGGAAATTTGTTAGTCAACAGCACCCTCTGTTAACTTGTGTTTGACTGAATAACCTGGACTGGTAGGTAGACTATAGGGAAAATTGTTAGTCAACAACACCCTCTGTTAACTTGTGTTTGACTGAATAACCTGGACTGGTAGGTAGACTATAGAGAAATTTGTTAGTCAACAGCACCCTCTGTTAACTTGTTTTTGACTGAATAACAGAATATAACCATTACTCTTATAGCACACCCCAGTCCCCAGAACACATATTTGCAGTGATGAGACACAAGCCAGGAACCCTCAGATAACTCCAACCCCCAATAAAAAACAACTAAAAAATTCTTTAACTTACTCATCATCTACTTCTTGTGGGAATGTTTTCCTTGTAAATTCATCATTGAGAATATGAGCCAAACAAATACCAAGAGTGGAAGCAGTATCCTGGTCAAAGTCATTCTGTGGAGAAAATGTACCAGAAAAAAATTATCAAATGGGAAATATTGCTACAAAAACAATCCTCATCCATTTTTTTACTGTTATGTAGTCATAGTTACTGAAAAAACTTGTTTACATGATCTAAGTGACTATACCAAAACCTAATTCTTGATATTTACAATAAAATAGTTTCATTATCGCATGTTCTATTTACATTGTAAGTATCCATAAATAAACAGAAACACAGCCAGAAAGTTCTGTGGTATTAAACTAACGAAACTTACCTGGAAAGAGAACAAAAAACATCCCACAGTAAATGGAAATAACAGTCAGAAGTACTGATATTGGAGAAACTAGTTTTGATACATTTATCTTACGACAGCTGGAAAGTTCTGTGGTGTTAAGAAGATAAATATTCTCGATAGAGAAACACGAAAAATGTTAATGTGCATAAAAGTTAAAACGACAACATAAAACAGCTGTACGTTTTTCAACATAAACATAAATTCTAATACAAAACATTATGTGAATAATAATGTCACAGTCTCTTGTAAAGAACATTTTAAAGAAATTTTACCACTTTTAGCTTTTCAAAAAACAAACATTGTCAATTTTCTGAACCAATATTAACATCAACTTACTAACCCCTTGTAAGATGGCTTGAAGCAACTTTTCCACCATTTCACACCTTGTTTCACAGATTCTATTGAAAAGCAACAACAACAAATTCAAAAACTGAAAGTTTTCATAATAAAAACACTTTAGAAACAAACTTATCAATTTATGTAAAAGGACAAATGTTGTAATATTGATTAAAAACTTAATCAATATTAAGCGGAGAGCGGGTCAAAACTATATATTCATTTGACCTTTTAATGATTATTCATACATTCATTTTAACTATTAAAAGTACATAAGAAAGCCTTGAATTACAAAAGTTCATAAATCTTCAACAAAAAGTATTATTTTTTAAATCTTATTGTATAAATAGCTTTATTTTATAATATATTCCCTAAATATCTTTGCATTGCTTGCTAAACTGTTTTATTGACCAACCTAGTCAATGAATGACAACATAAGGTAATTAATATATCATGGGGTGTGATATAACCATTAATTTTTATAATTAAAGAGAATTAAAATTAAATTGTTACCCTTAACTTTATGTAGAAAATAGGGCTAAGAGCAACGAGGGGATGATATTTTATTTTGGCATATCTTTTTAAATGTAATTGTTAAATTATTTGCATTCATGAACACATGCAATACACGTGCATGTTTCTTATATTATAAAATCATAGAATAATTCATGAAAATGATTTTTATCTTTTAATTATCTCGGCAATCGACATTTTGAAACATGGAGAGAAAATAAGAAAGTGGTTTCCAGGAAAGGAAAAAACAAAAGGAGAAACTAAAAAAAAAAAAAATACTGCTTTTTAAAAAGCTAAGCTATCCAAGTTTTTCTCATTTTGTAAGGAAACAGAGGAACAGAACAACCCAACCAGCCCTTTCAGGAAAAAGCTTCTACCCTGAGCTATTCTCAACCCACTGTAGCAACTAAAAATTCTAGCACAAGTGCAGCTTCACCCCCTTATGATTCACAAAAGGAAAGAGGTTGAAAATCTCACTACTAATTCTGGTGAGGAAGACGATTTTTCAATTCTTTTCCTGTCCGCTGGCCATAATGCTGAATCAGAATTCTTTTCCTGTCCGCTGGCCATAATGCTGAATCAGAAATAGCATTTTGTAATTGCAAAAATATGATTCCAAAACAAAATATAACAGAGCAAGATTTTTCAGCGTCAAAGAGAGGTTTGCATTCAACAAATGTTCAGAGATGCTGTTCATTGAACCTTTTTTAAGATCAAACTTTCAACAAATGTTCAGAGATGCTGTTCATTGAACCTTTTTTAAGATCAAACTTTCAACAAATGTTCAGAGATGCTGTTCATTGAACTTCTTTTAAGATCAAACTTTCAACAAATGTTCAGAGATGCTGTTCATTGAACTTTT